TTTATTATATATATATATATATATATATATATATATATATATATATATATATATAATAAAATATACATACATACATATATATTGTATATATATATATATTGCTTGCCGATATCTTCATTATCTATTGGTATACTTGCTCTTTTTTTCCTGTTTCTTTTATATATATATATATATATACATATATACATATATATATATACATATATATATATATATACATATAATTTATATATACAGCATATAGCGTGTCTGGCAAGGGGTTGCCACGATACCAAATTTCTGATGATTTGAAATTGATGATGGTCGCAAACCCAACGGCCAAGCGTGGTAACTATAAAAAATTACGGGAAAAGAATATGAGGCTATCTATGGGAGGCGTATGTTCAGCAGTGGACTTTTATAGGCTGTGATAATATCCTATACTATTAAACGAGCAATTCTTGTATATATATATATATATATATATATATATATATATAAATATATATATATATATATATAAATATATATATATATATATATATATATATATATATATATATATATATATATATATATATATATATATATAATCGGGATCTCGGAAACGGCTCATTAAGGTTGCCCAAGTCGATGGCACGAACTAAGTCGTGGGCGGGGGCAAAAATGCATGCTATCTCAGCCGACATCTCGTGCGAAAGGGATAGACGCTGTGATGAGCAGTAAGAAGCTAGTGCGCACACACATACGCACTCGAGTGACGCAATGCGCGACGGCATCATCGCGTACCTAGGTACCTATGTGATTCATTTTAGAATACTCATAGAACATAAACTCAAACGGCAATTGTGAGCTTCGTGCCGGAATAGCTTAGCAATGAGAATGAGAAGAGAACAAATGTTTTGTATGGACTACAAATAGTTGTTCCGGGTCTGGATGTTTGTTCTTATTTGTAAACTGCCTCCACGATACTGGAGAAAACGGGGATAACGTATTTTAAAAAGAGAAAGGAGAGAGAAAGCAAATTGGTGTTATTGTAACTTAGAATCTGCTGTGTGAAACGTAATTATTATGAACCCAATTTATGTACTTAGTTGTTATGATGAAAGTTCTTATGTGAACTTAAGTAGATGTTGTTATTATATAATAATTCCATTGATTTGTTTTTACCTACTTTTTAACCGACTTCGAAAAAAGGAGGTGGTTCTCAATTCGTTGGTTTTTGTTTATGTATGTTCTGTCCCCCGATTTCTCGAATATGCCTGAACCGATTTGGATATATTTTCCAGATAATCCCACGGTAATCGACGATGATCAGATCAGGATTTGATGATGGGATCTTGGAGAAATCGGGGGCACTCTTCAATAAATGACAGCAAATCAACCGCGATTTCTGCTATCGCCTATCTATGCATTCTTTACGAATTCACTCAATATCACGCCTGTACCCACTATAGGGACATAACTCTAAACTAAAATCGGTAACTTAAAAAACTTTTTTTTGAAAAAAATATAACAATTTCTAAAACAAACACAAAAAAGTGTAACATAATTATGTTTTCTGTATGTTTTTGTATTTTACTGTAGGTTATGCAAATATTACTGTAAGTACTATGTATTCTAAATAGGTATTTACTTTCCATAGCTCGTTAGCTATAATAGCCCGCAGGCAACTCCCCGACCCCGAAGTATATGTCAGCCAGTGTCAGGATAACTGCTTTTTCGACAGCGCGATTTTGATGTGAGTGTGGCTTTTATATAGGCAAATTAAATAAAAAAATGTTAGTTTGTAAATTGTTTATTGATTGTTTGTGTTCAATAGCGGTTTGAAATATTCTCTTAGTACTTAGAAAGTTATTAACAACAGGCATTGTGTCACTGCAGGGACAAGCACAAACGTCTATCAAAATAGTAACGTATATAAACGGAATACTAACAGCATAGACTTCCTTACAGAAGAACTAAAGAACACGTCTAGGCAAGGTAAGTAATTAGAAGAAAACTACAATTTAGAGATCGATTGTAAATCAAATTCACAGTACAGACACAATTAGCGAAATATGAATAAAATTTTTTTTTTGATAGATAACGCTAGTTGAAAACTAAACACTGTATGGGAATGGCATCACTGAACGAGTCAGGTGATCAGTCCAAACAAATAAAAGGCGCGATTGTAGAAAGAAATTCGTTACTTGGTCGGGGCTTGGCCTGTTTATGCTATTCATAACGAAGGCTATAAATATGTAGGTATAACTTAGAAACTAAATCCTATGTGTACTTATCTGTATTCATAACCCAATATCTAAGGTAGGTTATTCTGTAATAAAAGTAAAGTAAAGTAAAGTTACAGCCTATATACGTCCCACTGCTGGGCTCAGGCCTCCCCCTCATTTCTGAGAAGGTTTAGGGCAAGGAAGTGTCCGCCGCGCTGCCCAAATGCGTGTTGACGAACTTCACATGTCTTCGAAATATTTTTTTCTTATTCCTCAGAATCATGCAGGTTTTCGTTGTCAGCTCTCAGGATTTATAAATAATTCCTCGTGTCCAGTAAAAAGGGTCTCATGTTACACTCACCATACGAAACACAGAAGCATTAAGCTTAATTTAATAATTATAAACGGGAATGAAGGAAGTGACACAACATTACTATTTAAAAATGTATTTATTGCTTTTCGAAGTATTCTCCGCGAAATTTGACACATTTTTCCATACGATGGAACCAATCATTGAAGCAACCATTCCATTCGGAAGTTGGGGTCTCCAAAATGACCGTTTTGTAGGCGTCCACAGCTTCTTCAGGTGATGAAAATCTCTGTCCACGCAATTTATTCTTTATTTTAGGGAAAGTATAGAAATTATTAGGGCTTAGGTCAAGGCTGTACGGCGGATGGTCTAATAATTCTATGTTTTCTTGCTCTAAAAACTCTTTTGATCTGTGTGAGGTGTGAGAACTCGCATTGTCGTGATGGAGGATGATGCGGCGGTTGCAGTTCTCTTTACGGAGTTCAGAAACGACCTGTGGCAAACAAATGCTAGCATACCATTCTGCATTAACCATTCTTTGTCCCTCAAGAGGAATAGTCGTAACATGGCCGGTTTTGGAGACAAACGTGGCCACCATTTTTTTTGCAACACTCCGTGAACGATCAATTTTTGTTGGCTTTAACTCATTTTCGAACACTCAAACTCGTGACTGGTTTTTTGTTTCGGGTTCGTACGCGTATATCCAGGATTCGTCACTTGATACGATGTTGTATACAGCATTTGAGGATCCTGCGTGGAATCTTTCGAGAGTTCTGATGCACCAAGTAACGCGAGCCGCTTTTTGCTCTTCACAGAGCGAATGCGGTATCCATCGGGAAAACAACTTTTTTACACCTAATTGTTCATGCTAGATTATTTGTATTTGACTCATGCCATGCATTTTTTTCTTATTCCTCAGATATGCAGGTTTCCTCACGATGTTTTCCTTCACCGCCGAGCACGTGGTAAATCAGCACTTAAAATTGCAATTAACAATTTCATTGGTGCCGGCGGGGATCGAACCCGGGTTACTCGCGTTCTGTTATATTTACAGCGAGCGTTAACCACTGAGCTACCACGGCTCTTGTCTAAAGTTGCCTGAATTTCGCGGTATGTCGATCTTCCTCAATCAGCTTACGCACAGCATCAACGTTTTCTTGGGTGACTGCAGTTTTTGGACGACCTTGACGGGGATCATCACTGAGCTTGACACGTCCACGTTGAAATTCAGCAAACCAGCGATAAATTGTGGTTTTGAATGGGGCTTCATCACCGAATGCAGAAATCATCCGGTCAACACACTGTTTTTGTGTTAAACCACTTCGTAAGTCATAATAAATCATCGCTCTTGAATTTTCTCGAGTTAATTCCATTTTCACAACGACTAAATAAGTTTGACAAAACCTTGTGACAAGACCGAGAATCTTTTTTTTAAATAAATAAATGGTATTTGTTTTTAAAACCAAGAAGATTTTAATATTAACAAGAAAGATTTTAATATGACAGGAATTAAACAAAAAAGATTTTAGTATGACAGGAACAGCGGAAATATTCCATACCCGATACCTTTAGTGCAGCCTAGGTACAACTATAATATAGCTGCAACAAGGCTCTACCGCGTATAGATGGCCTATGTTCAGAAGTAGATTTTATAAGCTGTAATGGTGATGGTTAATTTATGCCCGGCGAAAAGTTGAACGTCTTACAGGTCACTGTTTAACTATCAAATGATACATTAATGCCAGGTACGTGTCCACTGATTACACTAAGTGCTTCAAGCATCAATTACTAACTGGTTGAATGCGATTATTGAGACTAAACAGAGCTTTAATGTTCACGGAAGTAACAGAATTTATTACTTAGCAAGTTGCAGAAGTTTTTTTATAGTTATATTATAACATTATAATATAATTCTGCTTATATTATCAATACTAGGACCAGTGGTAAAATTTAAAAAATTGTACAACCGACATCAATATAAATAATTTGAGAACATCATCAATGTATTCAAAGTCCATTAAATGCGCATTATTAAGGTTAACTCAAAAACTAATGGTCTTAATAATCTTGATCAAATTTATATGGCGCCACACCAACTTTCAAATAAAAGAATCATTTAAATCGGTTCACCTAGTAAAAGGTTCTGAGGTAACACACATAAAAAAATGGTAAAAAGAATTAAAAATAAAAAAAGAATAAGGAAGAGATAATATTTCTGGTATGGAATATACCGATATTCGACAATTCAAAGTAAAAAAAAATATACTTACTGGCAACAAAAGTTGTAAGAATTTTTATGTATATCATATACAAAGATTTATTCATTACACCGAGAGACCGAGACTAATACATTGCCTGTATTAGTCTCGCTGTAATGAATAAATCTTAAGAGCCCACTGTCGAACGCGGGCATTCATGATAGATTGCCCGAATGATATTTACCATAGTAATGCAGATATACGTAGAAAGAGTTCTAAGCGTATTCCGTATTGTCTAACCTGTGCACTGGTAATTTCACAAAGGCCTCTGGATGATTGGCCCAGGTGAGTGCTGAGTTGAGTGAGAACTGTGCAAACCCGTTTAGATTCACATCGCGCGCTTTAGAGACTACACCCTGTGAACAAAAATGTAAATGCCTAGAAAATAACACAAATTTTACTATTACTAAATGGATAACCTATTAGTTAACGGTACATGATACATTGTAATGTTAATTAGAGCCCATATAAATGTATACACATATACTTGTATTCCTTCCTTCTTAGTTACGTTCTATTATGGTTGTAGAACTACGCTCTATTATGGTTGCAGCACGAATGGGTCAGCTCAATTTGGGAAGAACCACGCTCTCACAGAATATTGGTGGAAAAAGCAACTTAATGATGTCGTGTTTCGTATGGCGAGTCTAGACAACCGGAAACTCTTATTACTGAAAACGAGGCATTCCATCTTAAGCTTTGGCTTATGGTCTATGACCTACAGTTTATCACCCTTATTCTATAAAAAATGTAACTTAAATATTATAAAATACCCAATATATTATTTAAATGTTATAGAGAACGAACATTTTTTACATGGCAAAAATTGTTATTTCTACTACGGCAACTAAATTGCTATTTTTATGTCTGTTATCTTTATCTCACATCTTTATAAGGGTATCTTTGTTATTTATTTTAAGCCAGTGCATGACTACAATTCTACTTGTTGGTAAGTGGCGACAAACAGTATTGATAATTTTAGTAGGCCTTAGATGGCAAATCACGCTGTTTTAGTGTAATAAAAGATTATTCTCTCATGCCTTGAAGATTTTAATTGATCGAAAAGTCGGGTGCCTACAATTTTTCCACTCTTGTTGTACTTATTACGAAAGACGTTAAAGTAAACCATTTGTTTCGAATGCATGGAATACCGACAACAAAGGGGTGAGACCTGCCGACCGCCTGGTTGGGCGCTTTTTTAACTTATTATAAGCCGAATTGCTGATGTCACACGAAAAGCTGCGGGACAGAGCTGGACACATCTACCGAATGTCAAATGACAAACGGGAAAAAGTAACGGTACGGTAAACGGGGTCTTTATGGAGCACGATGCATGCGTTTGTCGCAAATAATGAACGCAAACTCATTGCGGGCGTACTTTAGGGCAAAAGGGGAAGAAACTGGTTTGCGTATCGGGCTCGGTAGACTGAGTTTGGTACATCCTGCGCTCCAACATATTTGGAGACGCCGAACTCGAACGACTACAGCTGAGAATGCCGCGCCACTAATTGCAGAGAAACCTGCATACATGGATGCCGCCGTGGATATTCCAGTTGTAGTTGATTCAGACGATGATGGAATAGTCTCCCATGAATTAGAGAAAATGAAAAGCATATTGAAAAAGACGATGTCCACCGATTTCCTCGCATACCCCTAAGCAAGCAGAATCGGGCTGTCGTCCGAGCTCTTAACCCAATGATGGTGACCTATTTGGAAGCCAGCCGGGATATTTGCGAGACGGTCTTAATTCTTTTTGGTGCCGCACTGGCAGTTTGCCATATTATTAGCGTCAAACTTCCACTAGACATAGTAGCGCCATTCCAGCTTAGAGAAAAATAAGTGAGGACCGTATCGCAAAGGTAAAGGTCCTCATCGGCAGACTAACAAGCTTCAGGTCATGTAATAATAGGCCGAGAGTTGTGCGTACCATTAGAATGGTGTTTGCTGGCACAAATATCGGTTTGTCCTAGCCGGATATCACCAAGAAACTAACAAAGCGCATAGATGACCTGAAGCAAAGTATCGCTGCTTGTAGGAAGAGGATTCGGATTCGATACCGAGAGTTCAAAGCGGTTCAACCAGAATCATCTCTTCTAGAGTGATCAGAAGAGGCTCTATAAATCACTGGAGCCACCGAAGGTATGTAGCGCGGGCTACACTCTCGCATTCTGGTGTGGCCTGTGGTCAGAACCCGTAAACTACAGCGAGGGAACTTGGATGGAAGTTGTGGAGAGCCAGAGTGCAAGTGTTTTGCCTATAAAACCAGTCATCATACTATTATCTTGATGTTAATGCTGTTAGTCTATGCGACTCTTACAGCTTCATCTTGTCACAGGGCTCCGGCCTGCAAGGCCGCGAGCTATGCAAGGCCGCGAGCTGCAGTCATAATAACGCCGGAAGACGTGACTGAGGTGTTCCTTAGGGTCCCGATCTTAAATTCCTGGACTCGACGTACTGCATCACCACTGACTGAAGGGGTTCGTAGTATGTTACGGTGTGCTTGCCCGATAGTTTCAGAGGCTCTCAACCAGAAGTCGCTTCCAAGCCACTTCACTACTGGGATCACTTACTTCGTTCCTAAAGATGAAGATACTACAGTTCCGAGAAAATACCGCCCCATCATGTGTCGACCCACCATATATATAAGATTATATATCACGCGTCACCTGGAGCTCAGTCAAGTGATATCACGCGCTCTAAATGGATGTCGGGGCGGTGGTCGTGGAGCCAAGGAACCACTCCTCATTGACGCGGTCATTGGCAAAATGGGTCAGCGCAACCGCCGAAACTTCTCCACTGTCTGGATAGACTACATAATGGCATTCGACTCGGTGCCCCATACATGGCTAAAGAGGGTCCTCGAGCAGCGTATGAGGCAGTGAGGTACGATCCTTTGTACCACATAAGGGTAAGAAGAGGTATCTCCCAAGGCGAATGTCTGAGTCCAATCTGATTCTCCCTCTCTCTGAACCCTCTCAGTACTTTACTGGAGGGCACCGGTAAGGGATTTCAGCTTCGGAAGGTAGGGGCAAAAGTGACTCACCTTTTCTATATGGATGATCTGAAGTTGTTCCTGCAATGTGTCGTTGTCATGGAATTGCTGAACATCACTTGTGAATTCAGCAATTCCATCAGAATGGAGCTGGAGACGAATAAGTGTGCTCTGGGAGTATAAATTTACCTATGCCCATCAACATACGGACCCTTTCCGAGGCAGAAACATACCGTTACCAGGGTATGTCACAAAATATAGGTATCGGAGGAGGCGGACATGTAACGGTCAGTTTGCGATGTATTTTATGCACGCTTGACAAAAGTTCTTAACAGCCTTTTGTCGGTTATTAATAAGACACACGCATATAACGGTTGGGGTCATGGCTGATCTCATGTATACCTTTAGCATACTCAGGTGGATACAGACTGAACTGAACGCTTAAGATAAAAATTCTGCACTGTTATGACTTACCACAGGATGCATTACCCGAGATCGTCAATAAGAGGCTAGAATTTTATTAATCGTAAATAACTTGGCAGGCGGGTGTGTTATCACTACACACCCTTCTGCCAAGTCACACACCTGTACACCTGACGTATCGCACCATGCAGATGGTTTCCAGTCTGAGGATTTTATACCTGATATGAGATGGATAAATCGTCATCTATCGGAAGCCGCTAGACCTTGGTTGTCCCCAATATTGTATATTCTTTTATTCTTTGATCGCTTCTTACGACACTGACGGGATGAGATGGCGTTATGGTTCTTATGACGTCATCGGATAGCCGTATCGATGTTTGTTATAAAACAATCACTTTTTTAATAATTTGAAAAAACTGATAGGGTGAAGGTGAATGATATGATATTAATAACTAGCATTCAAGATCACCTTCATACATCTTTGTTTTTATATTTTTAGTATAGAGGTATATTGATTATTAATATTAATATTATGGCTTTCTGATAAACTTATGCCTTTAACTTCAACAGACTGTTCTTGTTTTATAAATAGATATTTTATTTTATCAAGGAATGATATATTCATACTCGTATGTTTTTATACTATATCGTACAAAATATACCACAACATACTAGAGATCGTCTACATTTTGCACGGAATATTTTATATTCCGTGAGATATTGTCATATTACCGTGAAAATTATTATAAAATCCAAATCTGCGCACCCTTTGTTTAATTTTTTTTAAAATTATCACGTTTTTTATCATATTCATACATATCATCATCCGAATTTGAGATATATTCAAAATTTTAAGTATCCAGCTCATCGGGAAGCCCTGATGGCGAAAAGTATTATAAAATCTAAATCTGCGCTCCCTTTATTTCCTTTTTTAAATTATCACGTGTTTTATCATATTCATACACATTATCATCCGAATTTAAGATATATCCAAAATTTTAAGTTTTCAGCTCATCGGGAAGTTAGTTCAAAATCAATAAATAAATTCCATCAAACAAGAAAGTAATTTAATAACAAGTGATTTTTTTGAAAACATTTAATGTACCACGTTTTTATTCATATTCCTATATTGTCATTCGATTCCGAGCTATGTTCAAAATTTCAAGTCTCTAGCTCAGGGGTCGGCAGCCTTATCCAGCCTAAAGGTTCATTCTAAAATAATTTACTCCTGAAGGGTGCATGAATGGTGAACGCAAATAAAATATTACACAAAGACAAATCAAGATGCTTATTACACGAGTCATATACACCAATTAGTCACTAATTATTAGTATTATACTTGACCTCGCATTTCTTCCGACAACTTGATGAAATCTGGCTCTTGAGTTGAAGTACCAGTCCTCATGTAAGTTATTATTGGAAAAAAAAATGGTCACGCTAGGTTTCTGGCTGGTTCTTCCCAGGTCAGAGGTTTTTTTTTTTGCGAACCAGTGGTAAATGAAGAAGTGACTTTCAATAAGTATTGTTATAATCTACATTGAATAAAAAAGTTGTTTCTGTCTCATACCATGGTTCGGATTTACATTTGTCATTCTGCTTCTATATTGTTATTTGATTGTTTCAAATATGGATTCGCATGCGTACGTTGATGCCCAGTGCGCGTGTATTTTAAGAGATAATGGCCTTCAAATTGGATATTTATTTTAATCAAAAATATTCTAGAAGTTTTCGTTCCTCGTGTATGATTTCATGCTCAAGTCGTTCTTCATGGTTATTATTTACAGCTCTAATTCATCGTAATTTTTAATTCCAATATAGTTTTTGATTTTTGACGAAACATCACCTTCTACGAATGTGTTCACTGTGAACTCAAGATTCTTAAATAGTTGGAAACGAGAATTAAATTCCTCCAAAAGTTTATCTAATTGTGGGGCAAATGAAATAGTATCAATGTCTTTTTTACATACATTCATGTGATTTTGAAATGTGAAATTGAATTTCTTAGTAAATGGGATTTCCGTAGATTCAGTTTGGTTTTGAATGTGTTCACTGATCCAACCATTTCCGCAACATCATCGTTTTTTCCTTGCATTTCCAAGTTGAGTTCATTCAGTTTTATTGTTATAGAAGTGAGAAACCCCAAATCTGCAAGCCATGAGGGATCACTCAACTGTAGATAATATTTCTTTCCCGTTGTCATGAACTCTTTGATTTCGTTTATTAAACTGAGAAAGCGTACAAGCATTTTGCCTCTACTCAGCCATCGAACTTCTGTATGCAATATCAAGTCCGAGAACTCAGCATCTTCATCTTGCAGAAGCACCCGAAATAATCTGTGTTGCATTGCCGCAGCCCTAATAGAGTTACCTATTTTTACGATAAACTTCATGACGTGTTCAAAACGAAGAATTTTGGCACACAACGCCTCTTGGTGGGTGATGCAGTGGTAACGAGCGAATTGAGCAAAAAGTTATTTGCCATACACAGCGCAACGAAGCCATTTTTATTACCTATTATTGCAGGTGCACCATCAATAACTATGTCAGCTAACTTTTGTAATGGTTGTGTGTGACACTTGAGCGCCAACAACTTCAAAAACTCTTCCCTTGTTGTAAAATCATTAAATACTATTTTAATAATACATAGCTGTGCAGTGTCGAAAATGTCGGTAAACTTGTCGAGTTGAAGAGAAGAAAAACTAGCACTTTTCAATATGAGTGATATTCCAACCAACTCCGATTTCATAATCAGTAGCGATAACTACGATTCTTTTTGACACTGTTCTGGCTGACTATGGTATCGCTTCAATAACCGCAATATTTAAAGTTTTGTTTTTAAAATTCTGTAAGACAGAATCAGCAGCTGTTAAGAAAGCTTCCTTTATTATTTCGACGTCTACAAAAGTCTTTTTCTTAGCCAGTAAATGAGAAACCATTAAAGATGCAATAGTAACACTTTTCCAAAGTTGAACTAGCCTGGTGAAAACACTTGTTGTTGTTATGCTAGATTTGTTTTCAATTCGCAGGCACGTTTCTTCCGGATTTCGTTATTTGGTGGAAACACGACGTATGCAGAGTATTGAAGTGTCTTTTAATGTTAATTTTTTTAGGCACTGCTAAACTGGTGTTGCATAATAAACAAATGCTTTTTCCGTTACACTCAATAAAAAAGAACCGTTCCCACTCTTTATTAAATAGTAAGTCCCTTAGCCTGTTAAAAAGACAATATAACAATTCAGGTCTACAAATATGTAGTTAAAACTAACAATACATAAATGTGGCTACTTAACTCTGAGTGTCGCAGCGCACTGACTCACTCAGGGGGATGGAGTGGGGGCGAGGTGGTAGAGGCTCAGTATAATAGTTATATTATAGTTTGCACGCTTTATTACGCCGTGGCGTTACAAAGGGCTTGCCGACTTGTGCTGAAACATCGATCACTAATGCTGAAAGACGAAAGTCAGCTCATTGAAAGAAACAACATGATTTTATGAGGGCGCACGCGCTCGCTTGCGCCTGAGGCCAAAGCTTTACCGACTCCTGCTCTATTCATTCATCAGGAAGTGCTTGAAATTTGAGTTGCAAGATTCCACCCGGATCGATAGACAGACAAACAAGAAATTGACTTAATAAAAACGTGGTAAAATACAAAGTCTCAAGCAGTTTTACGTTAGACGATTTTTTATATGTTACAAACTTACACTGCAGCTGTATTATGACTGTAACACGAATGGGTCAGCTGAACCGTCAAGGGTCACGAACAGGTAGTTGATTGTGTGATTAAATTTTTGATACGTTATACTCACGAGTAAAGGAAGGTTCGGCACGTTGATTTGGTCGAAGTGAGCGCCGCCAGAAGCATCAGGCAAGTATCTAAAGTTGTTTTTTTCTTGAAAACTCAGATGATCCTTTTGAAAATTAATATTGACACGCTCTACTTGCTGCCTGTAGACAAATGCGTTTATTAAAATATTTTAAATTTTTACATTTTTTTCGTTATGAGATTTTTCGGGCTACAAGGAATTTGAAGAATAGGTTTTTAACGACCAATTGCTGACACGTTGTGCCCGAATGACCGTGCTAAGCTACCGAGAGAAAACTGTAGTAGGGTGGATGTCCCTTTTTGGTAGGTAAGTTTTAGAGGCAAAGTAATAAAATTGTAACAATTTTTATTTTGAATCATGCATGCATATCATCATTATAGCCCTTCACAAGTCCACTACTGAAAATCTTCCTCTATAGACTGCCGCAAAGCATAGTACTGAACCACACTTTCCTTGTCATGAGTTTTTCATTTACGTTCTAAGTTATAATTAGTATTACTAAGTTATAGTTAATTATATTTATTGCTTATTATTGTCTTTATCAAAAATAATTAAATATATAAGGTGTTCTTTATATATACCAAATATTTGATAGAACAGCAAGTAAGCCTTGCTGAGAGGCAAAGCACGTGTCGTACTTATCATAGATAACGGTGTGTATTACCTATTGTAAAAGTTAAAGTGGTTTTTGATTATGCACGCGATTGTGGGAGTGTGGAAGATGATCACAAATCATTTCATTTCCTCAATCAATCCATTCGATTTATTTATAACAAGTGACTCGCCCTGGCTTTGTCTGGAGCCACTAATGTGGCGTTATTTAGATTTAAGATTATCCAAGACCACATTTTATCAATTTATCGCTTTATTTTTTTAAAAACTTAGTTTTTCGAGAAGCAGTCAAAATATAACATAATATATCACTTTTTATCACAATCGGTTCAGCAATTCTGAAGATTAGGCGCAATAGACAGACACAGACATTTTTTTTAAATAGTAGTGTGAAGTATGCGCTAAAAGCAGATTTTTCACGCATTATAGGGGCGCAGAAAATCAATTTTTTTGTCATTGAAAACTAAGGATTCACAGTCTTTTTAAAATCATTATGAAATTTAAAGATTTTTCTTAGTGAATTATAGTGGCCAAAACACGATTGACACATTTTGGCTCGATATAAAAAGATCGCAAAAAGTCCTCAAATCTACAATTTTAGGTACGTCCACTAAGTGAAAAAGCAGTTTCATTCGAATGCAATGAAATCAATTTCAATTAAATTTAGGATATGTGTTCACCAGTAAATGCGTGAGTGAATTATGGGTTTATTTTTCAATAAAAGAGTATAATATCATTTTAAAAACGAAATATCAAATAAATATTGTGCGATTAAACAGCGCGCGGGCCGATCAAACAGACCAGCCAGTTGTTCGCAGCGGCAGCGCGTCGTAGAGAGCACCCGTGCACAACTTTATCACGCCCGCTGTCCTCTTTTTTTTTTTTTTTATAGAAGAGGGGGGCAAACGAGCATGTGGCTCACCTGATGTTAAGTGACTACCGCCGCCCATGATCAACCGCAACACCAGGGGAATTGCAGGTGCGTTGCCGGCCCTTTAGAAAGGAGTAAGCTCTTTTCTTGAAGGTCCCCAGGTCGTATCGGTCCGGAAAAATCACCGGTGGTAAATTATTCCACAGAGAGGTTGTACGCGGAAGAAAACTCCTTTTGAAACGTACAGTGGTGGACCGCCAAGCATCCAGATGGTGTGGATGGTATCGGGACGTTTGCCGTGTAGTGCGTAAAATCACGTGCAAACGCAACATTATATTAAAAAAATATTGATAACCGTGGTATGCCATTGAGAGGTAGTGAAAAATTAGGCATCCAAACCGGTTTGTATGCCTTCCTTAGTTTCCACTCAACTTCCTAGGATCCACTCAAACAGTAAGCTGTTTATAATACAAACTGATATGTAAAAATTTGTTATAGGTATGAGTAAAGTGACCATTTATTTTTTTCCTCAGAACGGGACGCCTTTAAAATTATTATAGTTTTAACACTTTTGACTGCTTACTTGGTCTAATGTCCCGGGTTCGAAACCCGAGTCGAGCCAAGAAACACTTTTTTTTCTGTCACAAAATTCTCAGTAGTTGAAGTTGGCGGGATTTCACCACCGTGCCTCCGGAAGCACGTAAAGCCGTAGATCCTGCGCCTGATCCCTTCCACCTCGTCTCGGATTACCATTCCATCAGACTATAAGAGTGAGGGAGTAGGGTAGACCTGTGCTTGCGTATACATTTGAGTAATATAATCCTGTCCTGCGCAGATGGCTATTCTCCGTTGAGAATGGGGTTTGGGTCTGGATGTTAGTCCTTGTGCAATTTATGTTTGTAAACTGCCCTCACGATACAGGAGAAAATCCTAGTGTGGAGGTAACGTTATAAAAATACTGGTAAAAAAACACTTGAGTGTGCCTAGGCTGCCTAGTTTATTTTTATGTTGAAAAGTACTTCATCATTATTTTATTTGGACATCTTCGTCCAAGACGCTTGGGATAATAATTTATAAAAAATATATTTGTTTTTGTACTTATTAGTTTACATGAAGCGCGTTGGACGATAGTGTCCAAATAAAATAATGATGAATTACTTTTCAACATGAAAATAAACTAGGTACATACCTCGGTAGGTATGTAGTTTATTTTCATGTTGAAAAGTAAGTATACGTCGACTCGTAAGTAAGCATCTATAGGCATAGGTACAAGTCGTATCATGTTGTACCTGTCTATAATATAATATAGGTATCGCTACACGAGAAGGCTCTTTTGGTGCATCCAATTATTATATGAAACTATTTTATAAATAAACGCTGGTTATATCAATCAATTATAAAATATTTCTATACTACGTAGATGTATTCAACTATTAGTGGGTTATGAAATAATCCTACACTTATGAAAGTGCGATCTGCAGCTTGTCGATAGGCTTGGGTAAAAATATCGATATATCGAAATATCTATATTTTCTTAAAATATATATGTTTATATCGTCGATACTTATAAAACACAATATATCGATATTCAATACTTATTGTGAAGTATCGAATTCGTATTAATTTCTATATATTTTAAAATGTTGTATTAATCGATCGAACATTAAGTAACAAAAGAAGCTACAAAAATATTTACGTGTCGTTGTCGTTTTTTTTCGTCATCCAACCGTCCTTATCTTACTACATTATGCAAAACATGACGATATATCGATATTCATCACGTGAATATATCGATACTGTTTAAAAATATCGATACGATATATTATATCGATATAGTTTTTCACTTGCCCATTCCATCCCTACTCGTCGCTATTGCTACATGAGTAAATAAACGGAATATTGCTAGCAGCTAGCCGGACTCGCGAGTCGCGAGGGACCACGCCCGCCCGCGTCTGCTTCACCCCCTCTAAACCTACGTGAAGTATAGAATAGAATAGAAATAGAAATAGAAACTTTTTTTATTCAATGTATAAAAATACTTATTGAAAGTCACTTTTTTAATTTACCACTGGTTCGTAAAAAAACCTCTGTCCTGGGAAGAACCAGCAAGAAACCCAGCGGGACTATTTTTTTTAATAATAGCTTACAATCATGTTTACAATCAACAACACAAGACAAATTAAAAATAGCTTGGTAGCGATCACCCTTCCCAGGGGTTATTATCATCTATAAATTCCTTAATATTATAATAACCCTTTTTATACAAACTTAGTTCAATAACATTTTTGAACTTTGTGTATGACAAATTTTGTGTATTTTCTGGGATTTTGTTGTAAAAGCGTATACATCGCCCCAAGAATGAATTACTGACTCGGTGGAGTCGAGTAACTGGTACTACCAGCTTGTGTCTGCTCCTAGTATTTACAGAATGAATATCACTTATTTTCGCAAAACTACTTTTATTTTTGTGTACGTACATTACATTTTCATAAATGTATTGAGAGGCCAGAGTTAATATATTAATTTCCTTAAATTTTTGTCTCAGTGACTCTTTTGGTTTTAAATTATATATTGCTCTAATGGCCCTCTTCTGTAAAATAAATATAATTTCAGTGTCAGTCGCGTGTCCCCATAGCAAAATACCATACGACATAATGCTATGGAAATAACTAAAGTAAACTATTCTAGCTGTTTCAACACTGGTAAGAGTTCTAATCTTTTTTTACAGCATATGCTGCAGAACTAAGTCTGCTAGCTAGTTTTGATATATGGGGGAGCCATTGAAGCTTTGCGTCCAGTGTGATTCCAAGAAAAATGGTGGTATCAACAAGACTCAGTTCCTCCCCATTTAAAATTACATTAGTATTGACATGTTTAACATTAGGAGTTACGAATTTCATACATTTAGTTTTAGTTCCATTCAAATGCAAATTAATAACATTAAATCAATTGACTAACTTAGCTATAGCATTATTTACTTCGTCGTAATTTAATAACTGTCGTTTTAATTCGAAAATTAATGAAGTATCATCAGCAAATAATACTATATCATGGTTATCCCCTACTATGTAGGGTAAGTCATTAATATATACAAGAAACAGAAAGGGGCCGAGAATTGAGCCCTGAGGCACGCCCATTTGTACAATCGACCCGGAAGAACTCATACTATTAATAACAACTTTTTGTGTTCTGTCACTTAAATATGAAATAATTAATTTAAGAGCATCATTTCTTACACCGTAGTCTTGAAGTTTCCTGATTAATGTTTCATGGTGAACACAATGAATTTGATGGTGAAAACAACAAAACAAAAAGGCTTTGAATAGGTCACAGAACACACCCAAAGCATCCTGTGAATTCTCCCATGCATTAAATATATATTTAATCAGCTCAACACCAGCATCAGTTGTCGAGCGACCCTTTGTGAAACCAAATTGATTTTTATGAAGTAATTTATTTACATTAAAAAAAATTAACAATTGATCAAGAATAATTTTTTCAAAAATTTTACTAAGTGTTGGCAGTACTGTACTGTACTGTGTAATGTACTACCAGATTTAAATAAAGGTATTACTTTACTATGCTTCATTAAATCAGGAAACACACCAGATTTGATACTACTATTAAAAATAATAGAT